CCCACCTTCAGCGAAATCAGTTTTCACAACAACAGGCACATACACACAGTAAAACTGGAGCCCAGACCATTGACGTGCTGGAAAACCCAACCCTGCCTTGCGCACCAGTGCCGTAAGACCAGATTCTGTCCTGTACATCTACGTGCAGCATCTCCTGCACCCCAAATGTCTGAGACGGCATAGCTGACCCTACTTTGAGCAGGAGGTTGGGTTAGATGATCTCCTGGGCTCCTTTCCAGCATGATTTATATGAGGACACCATGATGATATAGAAATGACAGCTTCAAGACAGTCGGGGTGACCAGCAATGTAAGCGAGGGGGAGGACAGAGCAGGCAGGGTGGAGGTTGCTCTAATCCAATGCTCACGCCATGATGCAGAAAGCAGATTGAAAAGGGTGGAAATCCAGACATCTGCAAGCAGAGCAACCCACAGGGCAGCTCCCTGACCCGGTCCCCTCCTCCTCCCCCATCCCCACGCCACGCATGGAGACCTCCCACCTTGTGCTCCTCCACAGCCTCCTCGATGGGGACCACGGCGTGGACCCGGTGAGCCTGGGACTCTCTGCAAACCAGGCAGATGGGGGTCTGATCCTCCTCGCAGAAGAGTTTCAGAGCTTCCTGGTGCTTCTCGCACAGCCTCTCCCCCCCTGCCCCTCCTTTGGTTGCCTGCAAGCTCAGCCGCTTGGCTATCTCGATGATTTTTGCCAGCTCCCGGTTGGGTCTCAGGTTTCTCTGCGGGGCCGCCTCTTTGCACTGAGGGCAGACGAAATTCTCCTCGGCTTCCTCCCAGCAACGGGTGATGCACGCCCGGCAGAAGTTGTGACCGCAGTGGATGGAGACGGGGTCTTGGAAGAAGCCCAGGCAGATGGAGCAAGAGGCTTCGTCGCGGAAACTTTCAGCAGGGCTCTCTGCAGCCATGGTCTTGGCAGCGAAGATGACAGGGCAGCTTTCGTTTTCTGCCCCGGCTGGTCTTGCCCGTTGGCTGCTCCCCTTCCTGCAGGTGTCTCGGGCCCCGAGGGAGGTAAAAGCGAGCGGCGGCGGAGTTTCGCTGCTGAGATGCACCAGGTTTTCTCTGGGTTGCGACCCCTGCCGAGCAAAATGCTGTGCTGAGCAGCTGCAGAGGGGGAGAATCCCCCTTTCCCCAGGGACTCCGGTGGGTTGAAAAGAGATTAAATGGCAAATAAACATCCTTCAAAATTTCCTGGCTTGTTAGAGATCCACCTGCAGCTTCTGTATGACACCCCCTCCCCCAAAAAATATCCAGGCAAATGGAGGGGTAGCCCCTGTCCCAAGCCTCCCCATGGGGTCTGGCACCCAGAAACCATCCTGGTTTCATTGCTCATTAATAAATGCACTTTTAATTTATTAATTGAAGGGCACAGCCATGAGGATAGAGCTTAAGCAAGTGCCCTGCCACAGGTAAGTCTCCCTTCTTCAAGTTAAACCACCGAGACACATCCTTCGCTGTTCATTTCAGCTCTTTATTATTTATCATACCTAACTGCCAGCTTCGCCGCCGTCCTGCCAGCGTCCTCATTTCTGTGTGTGTATGTGCAGCTATAAATACTTTTATTGTTGCTTTCGATTCTCCTTTTAAACAGGATGCCGTTTCGTTCATGGTTCAGGGCTGAGTCTGGAGTCAAGCAGCAGCCGATTACCACTCACCCTCTTACCTTTAGTTTTCCTTTTCTTCCAAACTTGCCTGCAATTAAGGAAGACAGGGGATTTTCTTCCACCCTGTAAATGAAATAAGTCCACGACCGGCCGTACCCCTCACTCAATCTGCTCAGGAACGGGTTCTCCTTCACCCAAGATCCCACCGTGCTGCAGAAGAACTTCCTTCAGCCCTCAGCCACCGCATTTTGGGGAAAAGAGGTGACATTTCAGGAATGACCTTCCAGCAATGGAAATCTCCCCTCCCACGGCTGCTTTTCGATTTGCAATGTCACTCTACTCCAGCTGCACTGACCTTGCACGGTCGGTTGGGTGTCTGCCTGCATAAATGTGCTTTCACCCCATGAGCTTGCCCCTCCTTTTTGTGCATCACTTTTTAAAAGCTTCAGCATCCCTAGTTTTCCTGCAAAGCCCCTCGCCTCGGGCTGTAGCAACGAGCCCACCAAGACCTCGTCCCAAATTGGGTTTCATAACACCAAAGTGGTAAATGTCCTCTTCTCCTCTCCTCCATCTCTCTGCGTGGATGTGGCAACATCATTCTTCTTCCTCTTAGGAAATCCCTAAGTCACTCAATCCCATGGGCCATCGATCTGTGGCACGTGGAAGAGCTGCTCCCGGTCCAAAGCCCTTTGCGTGCCGAAGCGGATGGGACTTATTTGCATTGGGCTGAGGCTGGGTGATGAAGTGACACATTTTCTGAGAACATCAGTAAATAACACATCTGCCGTTATTTGTTTGCAAGTGTTTTCAGGGGTCATGATTTTCCGGTGCAGCACTCTGCGCGCACAAACAGTCAGACTGAAACCTGTGGTACGGCTTCATACTTGGGGCACTCTTTTTTTTTGTTAATCCAGAGTTAAGGGTTGGTTTAGCGGGGAATGAGATGTGCAGACAGACTGGTGTTGGGATCGACACCCCTGAGGGACTGCTGGACTTTGACTTTTGCTTTTAGGACTTTGTTTTCTCTCCTGCTCTTCTTCCTCCTGCTGTCCCACAAATGCTGGCAGCATCATCACCTCTGCCCCAGCGCCAAAAGCCACGTTTCCTCCCCAGTTACCTACATGAGTCACATAATCAGAGTAATCTCCCAGCAATCACCTGCAGAGGCTTTGCTCTTTGCTCTGCTTCTTTTGGGCTTGAAGCAGAGCTCGATGGTCTTGGAAAAGCATCTCGGCTTCTCCAAGCCCAGCAATGTCAGTTGATTTTGCCGAGCCCTGGGGGCGCTGATGGGCATTAATGGCCCTAAACAGCTCCACTTGGGACCCTCCACCCCCTGCCCATGGCCCAGGGCCTCTATTTAAACGCAGTCCTGGGGCATGGTCCTTTTGCAAGCTGCCTTAGAAGAGCAACCCATGCGTGGCTGTGGACTCTGCTGATCCATCCCTTCATGACTCATTACTCCAGTGCCCTCAGTAAGGGAATTTTATCCCCTGAGAAAATTCAGTAGAGGTTTGGTGCTGCCTCTCCCAGGATGGAGAAAATATGGGGTTGTTTGAGCCCATCATTGGTGCGGGGGAGATCTGGGTGAGGGGTGTGTATGCTAAGGGAGAGACTGAGAAGTGGGCAAAGCATCATTTGCTATGTCTAGATGATCCTGAACTTGATCTTAAATAGCAGCAAGTCATAGAGAAGGGAACTACAGGGTACTTAAGTGTATCCATCTCCCTCAATATCAAACCTAAATCTTAAGGCAAAACTCACTGAAGGCTCGATTTGACTTTGTGGATAACCTGGCTCAGCTCCTAAAGGTGGGTTTGGTGCATTTTTTTACAACTAAAGCCTTGCATTACAGCTGCCTATGCAGTGAACTGGGTTGGACGTGAGATAGGTTAAAAATAATGACACCCCTCTCCGCAGGAGCCCTTAATTGGCTGTGTGTAATCAACAGGGACTGTTAGTGAGTGTGGTCTCAAGAGGGAGCTGGAGGCTCTGTTTTGAAAGACAGGAAGACGTTTGCTCAATGCTTCTGTGCAAGAGGAAGAAGAAAACTAGTAAACAAAGCTTTTCTGTCGGATTCTGCTTAATTGCTTCAAGGCATAGATACGGGGCTGGGGACAACCACAATTAACCATCAGGCACAAACCACCCTGCCTCAGTTTTCTACTTTCTTTGCATTGCATATTTTTGTTCCTGCCTCCTTTTCCCACAGTTTCAGGGTCAAACCTAAATACAGACCAGGGGAAGAGTTGTTTTTCCTGCAGATCTCGCTTTCATGGGATCAACCAGATGAGGGAACTGTTTGGGCTGAAAAATAGGCCCACTGAGAAATGCATTATTTGTTTTCAGCCTGGCTGATGCCTGGCTGTGCAGAGGTGGAGACGACAGGATGGTGATGGTCAAAGCTACAAATGGGTCAGCTCAAAAGGACAGTTCAAATGCTAAAGAGGTTCAAAGCCCCGCTGGTGCAGACAAAACTTTCCCAGAGGGATGTAAGGACTAAGTGCTGCTCTTCCCAACAGGGAGCAAGAGGATGAGGTTGCCCTTGGCTGGGGCATCCAGCCCCTTTTGTGCTGGAAATGGGATCCCTGGGGTGCTGGCATCTCTCAGTACCTGGAGAAATACCATGCTAATAAGCCAGGACTTGAGAATTGATCCTGATTTGCAATGCAAAATATGGGAGCACTTTAATGCCTGAAGCTGGAGGGAGGGAGGATTTGGGGGAGCAGGATCAGAGGGAGCTGGATGGGCTCCCATTTCCCGCTTCCCTTCCCTGCTTCCCCCCCACCCCCCTTGGGCTCTGTTTGCTGCAGAGGCAGAACCGATGCTGGCCCCACATGTGCCAGCAGCATTGATTTGCTGCCGAGAGGAGGACCAGACCCTCTCCCCATCCTGGGACTCTTCTTCCACTCCACGTGGGTGCCCCTCAGCCCCCACTTCTGGCTTCCTTCCTCCGCCTTCACCCTCCCTGAGATACGCAACCTCCTTCCCAAGCTGCCTTCAGCCTCACCTTTTCCATGGATGCTCTTCCCCATCTTTTCCATGCCAAGCCCCCTCCCCAAATCCTCTTTGCCCCCATGCCCAGCCCCCTTCTAGGATGTGGGTCTCACCCTCAGACTTGGCAGGGCTCCCTGTCCCCATCCTTCCTCCCTGCCAGGCTGTGGGTACCAGGAACTGGTACAGAGTGCAAGTACCAGCCGTTTTGGGTACGGGGACCACCCTGGGGGATGAAACCAGGAGGACTTTGGCCATCACCCGCTCTCTGCCTTCCTACCCAGGCTCAGCTCTGGCTCTGCCCACCCTGGGGGTGGCAGGAAGGGAAACGCCTTTCCCTTGCTCGGAGGAAAATGAAAGTGGCTGACGTCTCGCAGCTCACATTGGGGGCCCCATGGCTGCGCCGAGCCCCACCGCAGAGCTCCCCAGCGAAGCCTCCTGCCCCATCTGCCTGGAGTATTTCCGAGACCCCGTCTCCATCCACTGCGGTCACAACTTCTGCCGGGCGTGCATCACCCGCTGCTGGGAGTGGTCCACAGCAAATTTCTCCTGTCCACAGTGCCGGGAGACAGCACCGGACAGAAACTTTCGGCCCAGCCGAGAGCTGGCACGGGTGCTCGAAATAGCCAAGCGGTTGAGTTTGCAGGCGGCCAGAGGGGAGGCGGTTGAGGAGGAAGGATGCAAGAGGCACCGGGAGCCTCTGAAGATCTTCTGCAAAGAAGATGAAGCCTTCATCTGTGTGATCTGCCGGGAGTCCCGAGCACACCGGTCCCACACGATGCTTCCCGTGCAGGATGCTGTCCAGGAATACAAGGTAAAGGATTTTTTCCATCTAGATGTGCACTAGGAGCCAGACCAGCTCCATCAGGGCTTGATGTTCCCCTTGCAGCACCCTACCATCAGGCTGTGAAACATCTCACCCCCACCCAGAGCAGTAGGCTGGGGCAGAAACATTGTCCCCCCTCTGGGTGTTTGCCTCTGCTCTTCCCCCAGAGCAAACTGGCCTGTTTCAAAATGACAGTGTAGACCACGCACCAGTGCTTCTGCTGTCTCAGTTCTCATCTGAGAACCTGATGCTCTGTGGCTGAAGGGGTGAGGTCTTAATCCCCTGTTCCCCACTGCAAAATTCAAGCCTTTGTCCAGCTCTGGTGCTTACCGGACACCTGCTGATCCCAAGATGCTCTCTAAACCAGCAGGCACATGGTCCAATAAAAATAAGGATGTTTTCCTGCTGCATCAGTGAGTTAAATCAGCTCGGAGAAAGGATCCGATGCAGTCAAGTGCTGGTGCAGAAAGCTTTTTCCACTATGTGGCATTTATTTCCATTTAAAGCATTCCCAGGTCGTAAGCTCAGGATCCTTCTGGACCAAGAGGGACACAAGGAGAAGCTCTGGAGCTGACCACAGTGCAATCCCCTATCCAGAGTATTTTTTTTAGGCTGTTTCAGTCTCCAGAGACATGGGGTCTTTATTTTTTCTTCCCTCAGGGACAAATCCAAGGTCATCTGCAAGCCCTGAAGGAAGACAGAGACAAGCTCCTGGGGTTTCGAGAGGTTGAAATGAGGAGAAGCTGGGAGTACTTGGTAAATGTTTTTATGAGGAGGAATGGGGGTCTGGATGTCTCCCTTTGGCTTTAGATGCGATGCCATGTGGGTGCTCATCCTGCTCTGCCTTGGGGCTGGGGTCCCTCTCCGGGTACCAAACCAAACGCTGCCTGACTTTTCTCTGTGTTGTAGGAAAAAAATAACAGGCAGAGCCTGGAGCCCTGCTAGGGACTCAATTGCTGAATGCAAAGCTATATATATATATTAAAAAAGGATATAGGATACTCGAGACACTGACTCTTTCTAGATGTGCAGTCACTGGCATGCGTGGGACTTTGCCACATCCTTCTCCACCCTACTCTTCCCTTCTTGTGTCCCCTCCTTGCAGGAGAAGACCGAAGCTGAGCGGCAGAGGGTTTTCTCCAAGTTCGAAGGGTTGCGTCTCTTCCTGGAGGATCATGCCCGTCACCTGCTGGCTCAGCTGGGGGACCTGGAGAGGGACATTGAGAAAATGCAGGAAGAAAACATCACTAGTCTGACGAAGGAGATCTCTCATCTGGATACCTTGATCCAGGAGATGGAGGAGAAGTGCCAGCAACCAGCAAGCAAATTTCTGCAGGTGAGGGAGAAGGGAATGGAGCCAGGTTGTCACCACCTGGCTCCAGGCTGTTTTCTGGCTCTGGGTATTGTCCCATGGTGCTGCCGAACCCAGGCTGTGCTCAGCTCCAAAGCCGCCCCCAAGCTGTTGAGGTTTCAGTAGATGTTTTGCTGCCAAGACCCGATCACCGAGTTTCCTCTTCCCTCTCTCCCTTCCAGGACATCAGAGGCACCTTGAGCAGGTATGGGGCTTCCTGAGCTTCTCCTTCCATCTCAGGCTGGGGAAGAAGTTTGGACCTTGTGTTTGACAGGACAGGTACAGGTTACAAAACCTCACCTGGGAGTCAAATACTTGGCTTTGTGGACAGAGGCTTTGAGCAAAGGTGTCTTCACCCATCATTGAATGTGCAGCAGATTTATTAAAGCCTGCACCAGCTCCTCTGAGCTATGGGTGTGCACAAATGATTTCTCGGTCTCTCTCTGGGAAGATGCATCCTCACCTCTTTGTTCTGTCCTCCTTCTCTAGGTTTGAAAAGGAAAACTTCCAGCAGCCCCCGCTGCTTCTTCCAGAGCTAGAAAAGAAAATCAGTCACTTCAAGGAGAAAAATATTGCTCTAGAGGAGACTCTGCGGAGCTTCCAAGGTATTGTGCCTAGGCTGGGGTGGGGAGATGGAACAATACCTGTGTGAGCACAAACTATATTTATTTTCTTAGAGTATAAATTATATTTTATTGCAATTATATATGTGATCTCAGCATGGCAGAACAAACCCTCCATTTTCACGTTCACACTCATACCTGCATGTTACAGTATCTGATATATCTTCTCCCCTTTTTAGATATCCTGATGTTTGAGCTGCCTGAAAAGAGTAAGTCCACATCTCCTGGAGGTGCGGGAGTGGGAAGGACCGAGGAAAGGCTGAGCCCAACACGGGTTGGGCCATGAGTTGGAGGGTCATCTGGGGAAGATGCTGCCGTGTCTGAACAAAACAATGAATGGTGGGGGTGGCCGAAAACACCATAAGGAGTCAGGGAATCCTCACCACAATGTGTTGATGGATTCATTTCTTTCAGTGGAGCTGCTAAGGTGCGTGAAGACTGAGCCTGCCCCTCACATCAGTATGTTCAGGGAACAAATGCCTAGTTTGGCATTTTTGGCACAAAAAAAGGGTAGGGGTCTCCTACTCATCTGCCTCAGGGCTTGTTCTCTCGCTCCCTTGGGAATCTTCTTCTGATGCTTGCCTGGGTCCTGTGAGATGGGGAAAGCAACCAGTGTCTGCCCCTGCAGCAAGGGCAGAGCATCCCAAGCAATGGGCTGGATGGTGCTGCAGGACCTCCCCGCTCAGCCCCAGCAGTGAGGCAGAACCTGAGGCCATGGGAAATGGTTTGGTTTCCTTTGATGCTCTGTGTTCTGCCCCTTGCAGTGAAGGTGACCCTGGATCCATCCACGGCTCACCCCCAGCTCGTCGTGTCGGTGGACGGGAGGAGTGTGAGGTGGGAAGATGCCCAGCAGGACCCATCCGCTGAGGGGTTTGGCACCGATCCCTGCGTGCTGGGCTGTGAGGGCATCACCTCGGGGAGATGCTGCTGGGAGGTGGAGGTGACACCCAAAGGCTCCTGGGCCGTAGGGGTGGCCAGGGAGTCCCTCAAGGGGAGGGAAGAGACCGCTGTGAGCCCCGAGATGGAGCTCTGGTCTATGGGCCTCTGTGAGGGTCAGTTTTGGGCTCTCACCTCCCTTGAGCGTATCCCGCTATACCAGATCCAGGTCCCCAGAAGGGTCCGGGTCTCCCTGGACTATGAAAAGGGTCAGGTGGCATTTTTTGATGCCGATAAGAGAGCCCTGATATTCACTTTCCCAGCAGCTTCTTTTAAAGGGGAGAGTATTCATCCCTGGTTCCTGGTGTGGAGCGAGGGGTCCCAGATCACATTGTGTCCCTGAAGCTCTCCCTTCTTACCCAAACACAAGTTTTATGTCCCCAACATCCCTATTTCCAGCACTTTGAAGGACTTCTGTCTTCTAAAGTCCTAGTTGGCCTTTCTGGCCTCTTTCTATCCTCAGTGATGCTAAAGGGTTGAGCATTTCGGGGGGGGTCGGTGTCCCAAATGGTCATCTCCAAATTGGGGCATCAGTGGCTGACAAATGGAGCCATGTCTGCCCCACAGCATCCTGCACCAGCTTGACTGCTTCTCCGGTCTTACGGTTTTAGATGAAGTAAAAAAGATTTACATGCTGTAACGTTCTTCTCTGTCTGGTTATTTGCTGCTTCAGGCTGTCGGGTTCAAGGCGGGGAGCTGGAGTTTTGGTTAATTAAATACCATTCCTGGTGTTTGCACAAAGCCTGTGAGTTGGCTGTGCCTGCACCCGGAAAGGTCCACAAGCCCCATGCAGGTGACCTAGGGACATCCCTGGAAGCCATGTGCCACGCTGCTCTCCTGTTTACTGGCAGTCCCAGCCAGAGGGAAAGACACGGAGGAGAAAATAATCTATTTTTTTTATTATTAATGGTCTACATCATGGAGGTTTCTAATATCAATTTTTGGAGAAGAGAGGAAACAGTTGAGGCTCAGGAGCTTTGCCACCTGCAAACTTTCATCAGCAAAGGTACCACATTGGTAAGACTCTCCACATTGCAGCACTGAAGGCTGGGATAAACCTCCCCCGACGTCAGAAACTCACAGTGCAGACGTCTGCATCTGAACTGGCCACCCCAGGATCCTTTATAAGGGAGAAACTGTCTGTTTGAGGGCAGGGGGGGAAGGTAAAGTTTGGACACCTTGGTTTGGAGGTCACCAGCTCAGATGGGGACATCTATACTTAACCAGGCAAACCTTTCTACTACTGTCACTGAATTTTTCCCCTTTTCCCACTATTTCCCATTTCTATGCCCCAGGGTCCCCTCTCTAGAGCTTTTCCCCTCTCTTTGCCTCATTTTTCTCAGGCTTATCTCTTCTCCCTGCACATCGATCCCCCAGCTTCATGGGGAAGAAGAAAACACAAAAGCCCAAGTCCCCATTTCTTCTGTTCCCAGGGGTAGCATGGGGAACATGTGTTTGTCCCCTGAGGCTGTAGAAAGTGGGGGGGGGGACGCTGCTCTCCATATCTCAGGGACACAGCCTGAGCTGGGACCTGGCCCCCACCACCCAGAGCCACGGGCGAACCCTCTCCCCGGTGAAGGAGGCACGGGGAAAAAATGAACATGAGCCCCCCCTCATCCGCGTCAAAGAATGCCACCGTCCCTCCAGCGTAGTCCAGGTGGACACTGACCCGCCGGGGCACCCAACGGACAGGTAGGAGGGTCACCTTGTGGGTGGTGAGTGCCCGAACTTGCCCCCCCCACTTCTCCACCCCCCAGATCCCTCCTTGGGGGCAGAGGCTGAGATGCCCCTTCCGACGGATGGACTCGCGGGCCACCCCCACAGCCCAATCCCCCCCGTCCCCCACCTCCACCTCCCAGCAATACCGGCCTGCCGCGAAGCCCTGGCATCCCAGCACAAAGGGCCAGTAGTCAAATCGCTCCGGGTTATCAGGCAGGTCCTGTCGTCCTTCCCCGCGTCTCACGCTCTTACAGTCCTCGGAGAGGATGAGGTCGGGGTGAGCCGTGTCAGGGTCCAGGGTCACGATGGCTGTGGGGTGGGGGACAGGGGTGTCAGGAGCATGGCTGAGCATCCCAGGGATGCGGGGGGCTTGGAGGGGGCCAGCAGGACCCAGGCTGGCATCCAAGGGGCAAAAGCATCCCAAGATGGAAGCATCCCCAAGAAGGGGAAGGGTGCTGTACATGAAGCAGAAAAGCTGGTTTAAACCCCAAAGGAAAATGTGCACAGTAACGGCAACAGACTCATGCAGAAATCCCTGCAGATTTTAGGTTACGTTGGGTCAAAAATAATTGCTGAGGGAGAAAAACAATGAAGGAAAGCGATACGTGGGATGTAACCAGCAGAATCTCGAGCAGGTCATCTCCTACAGCAAGCGTCACCCACCGGACAAGACCAGACAGGTTCGGCTGAGCATGAGATTGAAAAAAAAGAGCTAAAACCTGAAGACAGGGCGATGAATTGGGTCAATCCTTTTCCGTATTTGTTTCATGGAAATAGTTAGGTTTCAAGGCAAGGGCTCTGTCCTGGGGTGGATTTTCCTCCAGCCTTACGCTGAGGCTCCAGCTGCAGGGCTGAGAAAAATTGTTGGGTTGCCCTAACTTTCGTATTCTTCCTTCAGCAGCTATTTTTGTCCACTTTGGGCTAAGTGCACCTTCATCTATCGGGTACGGCTGCTCTTGCGTTCTCGCTCTCAGCAGAAGCCAATTTTGGGGAAGGCGAGGCTGGAGGGGGAGCCAAGCCAGAGAGCAGCCCATCCTTCGTCCGTGAGCATCTTCCAGGAATTAGGGCAAAACATGTATAATTAAGAGGGTGATAAATGAGGCATTAAGTGGGTATCAAATTGTCATTTCTTCTGACCAGGAAAAGCCCTTTGTTCTTCCTCTCCTCCATCTCAGGGTTTCCCTCTGCAGTATTTCTCTTCCCAAAGTATATCCAGAATGAGCTAAGGGCAGCTCAGCTCTTCCAGCTCTCCCCAGAATACGGCTAGCCTATTTTTTTTCTCCTCCTCAAGCCCTTCTCAGTACCTTGTAGCTTCTTCAGAGTCTCCTTCAGAGCGCTGTTCCTCCATGAGAAATGACAGACTCTCTCTTCTGACTGTGGAGAAACATCCACTGGCAGCTGGAAAGTCACTTTCTCACACCTGAGAAAAAAAAACAACCCACACTTTTCGGGGTGATTGTCATCATTTCAGGAAATCTGATGCCACCAGAAATGAAGTGATGATATTGCTGCAATGTTGGTTTTTTTTAATCTCACCCCCTTGGCAACCCAAACCTCCAGGAAAGTACAGGCCAAATTTCCCTGTTGGATTAATCTTTTTCTAAATTTTATTTTTTATGTAGACCATGAGAAAGGTCCAGCTTGAGAGGACTGGGCTAGAGGAAAGAGCCAAGATTTTGCAGTGAAATTAAAGCCAGCCTTTGCCAATGTGGAGGGGTTTGAGACTAAAGCTCCTTTGATTAGCACATCCCCAGAAATGATCAAGAGAGAAGCATGTAGCGGTGGTCCCCAAAATACCCTTCCAGACTCTTGCAGTTTCCCTGAAGCGGAGGTGTATTCAGCAGCCACCGATGAGTTTTCTCCTCCGTGGTCACTGCTCTTTGAAAAGCTCACGAAACAGCCTTTCGGCAAGGCCACGTACCTGCTGACGGTGCTTTTCACATCCTAGGGAAAGAAAAAAAAGAAGGGAGAAAGAGAAAATGAAGGCCAGTGTGAGTTTTTCTCCTTAAATCACAGCAATACTGAATTGTTTAGTTGGGGATGGGCCTCTTGGGTCTCTGCTCCAACCCTCTGCTCAGGGCTGTGTCAAGGCAAGGTCTGAATATGTGCAGGGATGGAGATGCCCACACCTAGAGGGACCCTGCACCAGGGAGGCACCACACTCACAAGGAAAACATTTTTTCCCCAAATCTAGAAAAAATTTCTCTTGCTGCAACCTGTGCTAGTTGCCTCTCATCCTTTCACTGGACACCTCTGAGACACTGGCTCTGTCTGCTCCATAATCCCATTAGACCATTGCAGATTACCAGGGCCCCCAGCAGCACTAATAGACATTAATGGCTCTGACCAGCCCCACCTGAGACCCTGCCCATGGCCCAGGGGCTCTGTTTAAGCTCAGTCCTGGGGTATTTAGTCCTTTTGCAAGATGCCTCGGAGGAATGTGGCCGTGGACCCTGCTGATTCACCCCATGGGCTGCTTGCCTTCAGCCCTGCCTCCTGCCCATGGACCTATCTGATGCTCCGGGCTGCCCTGCCCTGCTCCGCTCCCCTCTCTCAGGTACCGCAAGGATGG